TTACTTAAACTCTTTGAGTCTCAGTTTTCACAACCGTAAGATGGGAATAAGGCAATAGTATCAACCTCTTATGGCCAATGAGAATTAAATAATTACATATGTCTCATCAACAACTGCTGCATAAAAGCCTATTCATGATCACCAATACCCGCAGTTTCTTCTTCCTCTTGGGCACTCTGATGGACTACATTTCCCAGCCTCCTCTGCAGCTGGGTTTGACCATGTGACTGAGTTCTGCTCATAGAACTGGAGGGGACATGATAGATCTGGCCTCTACATTCTCCACGCCCTTGCTCCCCCTACCCTCCATGCCCCCACCAACCTGTGTTGTGAGGGAGAAATAAACTTTGCTTGTCGGAGCCATTAGCCTACCCTGACTAGGGCCCTGGTACATAATAAACTCTCAGTTAAAGTTAGGGGCTCTCTGGCCTAACCTCTCTACACTTATGTTCTCATCTATAAAATGGGGGTGATGTTAGGAACTTACCCCATAGGGTCGTGAGGATGTGAGGATGGGATGAAATAATATATAGTTTGGCTTAATGACTTAGCTCCTCTTTGATCACACTTATTTCATCTAAACACTATATACTATAAACCAGGTCATAATCACCTTTTTCTTAAAACAAAATTATCCATAATAAAGCCTCTTGAAGGTTTTAAAAGGATAACATATGAATATTTTAGGCCTGAAGCCATTATAATGGTACCATTTAAATTCAGAATTCTGGGGCACCTGGGTGGCTCAGTTGGTTGGGCGACTGCCTTCAGCTGAGGTCATGATCCCAGGGTCCTGGGATCGAGCCCTGCATCGGGCTCCCTGCTCAGTGGAGAGCCTGCTTCTCCCTCTCCCACTCCCCCTGCTTGTGTTCCCTCTCTAGCTGTCCCTCTCTCTCTCTGTCAATTAAATAGATAAATAAAATCTTTAAAAAAAATAAAATAAAATAATAAATTCAGAATTCTTTCTAAAATCCATTTGATATGGGTTTCAAAACCTGAATATATAGAATAGGATGTTTCTAATTTTAAAAGATAGTCAGTTTATTTTTGACTTTTTAAATTAGGAAATATTTTAAGAAGAGGCACCTGGGTGGCTCAGTCACCTGGGTGTCCAACTCTTGGTTTCGGCTCAGGTCATGACCTCAGGGTCATAAGATCGAGCCCTGCATCAGGGTCTGTGCTCAGTGGGGAGTCTACTTGAGATCCTTTCTCTCTCTCTCCCTCTTCCTTTGCCCCTTTGCCCTGTTCTCATGCTTTGTCTCTCAACTAAATATATAAATCTTTAAAAAAAGAAAGAAAGCAAAAGAATACAAAAGAAAAGATGTAACAAGCACCTATATTCCCACAACTCAATATGGTCAAATCTTAATATTTTGCTATATTTGATTTGTGTTTTTTTTCCTAAAGAAATAAAACTGGGGGGAAAATGATGTATCTAAAGCACTTAGCATAGTGCTTGGCATATGCAAAGCAGTCCATAATTGTCAGCAAGTTTCTCTAACTTTTTATTTTGAAATAATTTTATATTTACAGTTATAAAGCTAATAGAGACATTTCTTGTATACCCACCACCCAGCTGCCGCTCACGTTAGCCTCTTACATAACCATGACCTATATTCCACATGTAATCCTTACAACAATCCTGTCATGACTCTCACGTTACAGATGAGAAAACTGGGTTATGGAGAGATGCACTGAGGTCACACACCTCAGCTAAAGGGCAGAGGTAAGATTTGAACCCAGGTAATCTGGCTCCAAGGTCATTCTCTTAATAATACCCCCACTTCTATCATGAGGCTGTTCTAGAGAAGAAGGGGGAGCAGATGCATCATCGCAGACTTCCCAGGACAAGCATGGCAGGCAGGAAGTCTTCCCGATGGAGATGCCAATCTCGAGCTCAACCTCTGTTTCCTCAGATGCTCTGGGGAATGTTTGGCCTTCCTACCACGTGCCTCCTCAGGGCTTCCCTCCCTTTTCTCCCTGCAGCCTCAGATTCTGAGCCCAAACCTCAAAGCTCCAAGGTGACTTGCTGAAACCCAAGCCCCAGGGTGTGGCTCTGTCCTAGATTCTGGGCACTCCCAGCCCAGCCAGCAGGGACAGGCTGCCCACACTCATAGACCTGGATGTTGATTTAGAGACTGACTGCTGGAACCACTATTTTGGGTCCCGCTGACGGTGCATGAGCGAGAAATAGCAACAAGGGCTGAATTGTCAGGCACAGGGGCATCCACAGGAATTGGGGGTGGGCAGATGGGTGTGTTGAGCAGGGACTAGCTTTGTCTATTCTGGAGAATAGGTGCCACCAACCTGAGGATGACCTGAAAACAGTTTTCCATCCCCAGATTGGAGGGGCCCTGCCTGCTTGGGAGCCGCAGCACCAGCGCTTCTGCAATCCTCCAGCTAGGATGTATGTTTACCCTTTGGAAAAGGCTCAGAGAGCACCTCAGGTAGCTGACAACCAGCTGGGATTAGGACCAAGGGCTATAGGGAGGAGAGCAGGAAGCTGGCTGGGCAGTACTGGCCTTTTGAGGCCAGAGCCCAGAGATTCTTCATCCCCGGGGCACATTCCATCCTCATTTTATCTTCTCTGAGCCTTGGGTCGTTCAATGATAAAACGGGCATGTTCATCCCTACGGATCAGACAAGGCAGGTTATGTTTGTGCAGTTTATGAATTGCAGAAGGAGGAATGGGGGCTAAGCACAACTTGTGCTCAACTCACTCAGACGGGCACCCCAGCTTGGAGCTGCGTCTGCTTGGGAGAAAGGGACACCTTTTCCTCAACCAAGCCCAGCAGTGATAAGCCTGAAAGGCTGATTTGCTCCAAGAAGGCACTTATTTAAAAAATTTATTTATTTGAGAGAGAGAGAGCACTAGAGAGCGAGAGTAAGCAGGAGCGGGGTGGGGTGGGGCAGAGGGAGAGAGCAAAGCAGGCTCCCCGCTCAGCAGGGAGCCCTATGCAGGGCTCAATCCCAGGACCCTGGGATCATGACCTGAGCTGAAGGCAGACGCTTCACCAACTGAGCCACCCAGGCTCCTGGAGGCACCTTTTTTGGTTGGTGCAAAGGGAAAGCACCTGCCCTCTGGAAATAGACCCGATGGCAGAGAAGGGCAAGGACCCCTCTGCGCAGAAGGCAGAGCTGGCCCCAGACAGCGCTGGGGGGGGAGTGAGGAGGAAGTGTCAAAGGTGGCCAAAGGAGAATGAGATGTGCTGGGAAGAAGGTGTCGGGGTGCCCAAGGGGTGAGTATGCAGGTGGAGCTCAGGGAAGAGGTGGGGCCCTCTGGAGGCAGGCCCACTCCTGGGGCCAGCGATGATTCACTCCCCCTGGCGACCTCTATAGAGAAGGCCTGGTGGCTGTGGGGACAACATGTAGTTGTGGTCCGCATGACCACAGAGCTCCACCTGAGGACGGGATTATAGTCAGAGTGTGGGAGCCACGGGAACCTTGAGACCATGAGTAGCCTGATCAGAGACAGCCACTTGAAAGAGAATGACGAGGCACCAGTAAATTATGATTCAGAGTGATGGGTGACATCACAAAAGGTGGATGGACATTTTGGCAGCCCAAGGATGAGCCCTTCTCTCAGGTTTAGAGGGTCCAGAAGAGCTAAACTGAAACTCAGAGACCCCGGTGAGAATGGCTGAGGGTGGTACATTCAGGTCGTACGATCTGAAGTATGTGCAAAGTACCAGAGGTAAGAGAACATGGTGCATTCTGGAAACTGCAAGGGAATTTACCATTTCTTAATTACATGGTGTGTATGGAACAGATTTATAGGAGATAAGGCTAGAGATACAGGAAGGTTCTCAGATAATGAAGCATCTTTATACTTCATCGAGTTGTTTGTACTTAGGGGGTTGTAAGCAGAATAGTGATGTGATCAGATCTCCATTTTAGTAAGATGTCTGCGTGGAGACTTGGATGGGCAAGGCTGGAGGCAGAGAGATTAATAGTGGGCTGCTACTGGTGATCCAGGGTCCAGGGGAGAGGTGAGGGTGCCTCGAACTTGGGTACTCACAACAAAGATGAAGCTAAGTGAGCAGATCTGAGTGGTACTGAGGAGGTAGAATCACAGGCTAATTGTCTGAGAGGCAGGAGTCCAAGATAACACCCATCACTGACTTGAGCAATAATGACTGTCAGAACTCTTCACTCAAATGAAGAAGTAGGAAGAATTCAGCCGGTGGGGAGGGGCTGAGGAAAAGCGCAGCTGAGTATGAAATTCAAGTGCAATATTCAAATAGAGGTGGGTAATCGGATACAGAGGTTTGAAGCTCAGGGGAGAGAACTGGGCTGCCGTGGGGGGTCTAGGAGTCATCAGCCTGGAGATGTGAACTGAGGCTGTGGGGGTGATGGGACCCCCGCAGCAGGGTGGGAACTCTGCAGGAGAGAAGAGGCAGCGGCCAGAACCCTGAGGAACCTGGGGGCTTTTCACATTGTTTTATTAGGGCACAAATACGAAGAAACTCAGAACGAAATCTTTTGCTCCATCATATAACCATCCTTTGCCTGGGATTTCTGGGCTGTCTCCTCCCCAGACCCTATCCTCTCGGTTAATGCTTGTGTTTTCCAGATGCCTCTCGTTTGAGTCAGTCCTTTTGAAAGTACAGCGTAGATGAAAAGATTCAAGAGATGCTACTTGCACAGCAAGTTTTTGACGATCGCTTTTTGCTAGGGTGGGCATGGAAGGGATGCTGACGCATTGAACATTGGTCTTGATTCCGACAACCCAGCTCTTGGGTGAAGGTATGAGGGAGGACAAGATGAGGAAAGGGCCAGCTAGGTTCAGGATGTGTACCCTCACTCCTCCCTTTTGCACCCGAGGCAGATACCACTGATTAATCCTCACCTGCCCTCTGTCTTCACAGAGACTTGATACGGACTCAGATTCTTTCTGTAGGCTGCCATCATGCTGACTCAGAGCTGGCAAGCCTTCTGGACCCTCGTGACCATCCTGGGAGTAAGACACCACCCCACAAACCACCAGAAGATCTCCTGTCTTTATTATGATGAACCTTTTATTATAGAGACAGACTGAACTCTCTTGTATAAAGAATCTCTGGATTGGGTCAGGGAAATCCACCTGCTAAAGATCACCACTCAATTCTCCCTGCTTCTGCCTCAGCTAAGCCCCCACTTGCTATTGATGCCTCAGGGTCATTGGAAACAGCAGAGGCTGCTGTCCCCAGGGCCAGGCTGGCTGGGCTGGGCCATGCTGGCCAGAGGGTCAGGGTTCCCGGCTCGGCTGCTCACCAAGTCAGAGCCGCCCCGTCTCCCGCCCCAGTCGGTTGTCCAGAACCTGGAGCTGCCGGAGGAAGCCCGAGTTGGGGCAGATATCACGGTGGGCCTGCACCGTCTGGATGGCCTCCACCAGGGTCATGTTCTCGCAGATCATGAGGAAGGCCAGGACAACCGTAGCAGAGCGGCTCACCCCCATAGCACAGTGTACCAGCACACGGCCTGTGGGAAGACCCAACCTGGTGTCAGCTACCTGCCCTCGCACTGACCACCCCACTGGGAATTGGAGATCCTTCTGGCCATCCTTCAGCCCACCTGTCACAGCACGCTGGCGTACTGACAATGTTCTCACACTCAGATGGGGCAGCTGAGGCCCAGAGAGGGAAAGGGACTGGCTCAAGGTCGCACAGCAAGTTAGTGGCCCAGCTAAGGTTAACAGCTGGGATTCCCTTTTCCAGGTCCAAGGTGCTTCCTCTGGCATCCTTTGCAACTCTGGCAGGGTGAGAGGGGGTATAGGATTTCTGGAGTCCCCTGGATTTGTGGCAGATGACAGGGGGTGTCCACCTACCTCCCTTTCCCCCCAGTTCTGCCCCTTCCCCATCCCTGCAGCCCTATGCCAAGGCCTCATCTTAGAAGGGCCTTCTCAGCCTTTGCTAGGTCCTGTACCTTCTGTCCAACACAATTCCTGGGGGATATGGTCACACTGACAACCACATCAGACCTTAACGATGTCTGATTGTTGGTCCCCCGAAGGGGACACTCACTAAATGGTAGTAGCTCATTGCTCCATGGGGTGGGAAGGTTGCTGAAGAGGTCTGTGACTCCGGACACCCAACCCACCTGTGCTACTGCAAAAAGTGCCCCAGATCTCACCCCACCAACCCCCACCCACGACCCTAGTGCCTTCCCCAGCAGCTCACCTTGGGGAACACTGAGGGCAGTTTGGATGTATCGAGCAACAGGTAGAAAGTAGACACTGAGGTCAAAGAAGGGGTTGTCATCAGCCTCAATGCCATAGTACTCCAAGGGCATTCCACGGTAAAACCTGGCACCTGTGTCCACTTGAAACTTGCCCGCAGCAACGTTCACAACATGGGTGATGCCCAGCTGGGTCAGCTTGCTCTTGTCCCGGGCTGCATACCTGGAGGGAAGGCATGGGGTAGTTGAGAGGTGGAGCAGGTCTCATTGGGGCCCCTCTGGCTGGGCTGGAACTTATCCCCTTTCCTCCTCTGCCATCCCCCTCCAAGTGTGAGACTGGAAAGAGTGAATAGGCCTGAGTGAAGGGGCTCCTCTAGTTGCAGTTCAAGATTCCCTTTCACTCCGGCCAAGGGCAGTCTGGCCACATGCATCAAAAGCCTTAAAAATATACAAAATATATACATGTTTTGCTTCAGGAAGTTCCCTTCTAGGAACTTAAAAAAATCCAAAATGTGCCCACAGATGTATATAAAGTGGATCTAATGACATTCAAGATAGTGAAAAATTGGAAAAAATCACTAAATATCCTATAACAGGAGACTGAGTATGGTATAGCTAAATGAAATACTGTGCAACCCCCAAAATGTTGTAGCTGCAGGTAAAGGAGGAAAGGTGTCTGTGCTATATTGAGAACCTGTGAAAAATGCAGGATACAATATAGAACCTTGTTTAAAAATGTTTTCAAAAGATGTTATGTGGTTCCATTTAAAAAGCTTTCTACATAAAGTAGGTTGCAAAATGGGACTAGAAAGAGGTATCATTTTTGTAAAAAAAGATGTGAAAAGGCCTTTATGTACATATGTGTGTATGCATTTTTTTAAAAGTCAACGAGGATTTTATTGCTGGTTATCTGGTGGGGGGATAGCATATTTGCCATATTATTAGCAAGATGTTGAATCGTATTTTCTAAATATTATGGAAAATTTCTAAAATCCACATATATTGATCCATATGTTTCAAACTTTAGGAAAACTTTTGGGAAAATGACTCACAATTCTACTTTCTTTATAACTGTATACCCAAGAGAAGCTTGTGTGTGTATGTGTTCCCAGGACCCATGTACTAGACTGTTTCTAGGATCACTGTTCACAATAGCCAAAAAGTCAAAACAACTCAGATGTCCATATACAATCAAACAGATAAACTGCAGTATATTCACACAAATGAATAGTATACAGCAATGAAAAGTGAGTGGCAGTTGCGTAGAACATGGGTGAATCTGACAATATTGAGCAAATAACGCCAGGCACAAAATGCACACAATATGATTCCATTCATATAACTTTAAAAGACAAGCAAAACTAACTATATTGTTAGGTACATAGATGTTAAAACTATGTAACTATGTAACTATGTAACTATGAAAAGCAAGGAGATAATTATTCCAACACTTAGGAATTATCTACAGGGGAAGGGGTTATGTTGAGAAGGGTCAGTCACTTCTGGGGCGTAAGGAACGTCCTGTTTCTTGACGTGGATGGGGAAACCGTTCATATGTGCTGTGTGCACTTTTCTTATGTGTGTTCTGTTTCCGCAGTTAAAATTAATAACATAAGAGGATAGGATCGTGTGGAAAGAGATGGTGGGAGGCCAAGAGGGTGCCACCTCTGCCCCTGCAGGACTCTGGGAGAGGCTCGCCTTCTGTCCCCTTGTACTTACGCATCTCCTAGGAAGAGGTTAGGCCAGACCTCATTGACATGGCTCAGCATGGCGGCCCGACGGACCCACAGCAAGCGTTGGAGGTAGGCCAGTGTGGGCGGCTGGTAGGGGGACCCCCGGACTGCCCCATGGATCTTGGGCCTCCGGAGATCCTGCTTCTGCAGCGAGTCCATCCTGAAACAGAATGGACACTATGGTGCTTGGGGGCAGGATCCCCACCAGTGGGTCCAGCTGATGGGGGGGCAGGGCAGGTATGGTGCAGTGCCCAGGGGCCACCAGGATGCAGCAGGAAGGGCCTCAACTATTTTGGATGAGATTATTAACCAGCTCAGCTGGGGCTGAGGCCTAGATCCTTTTCCCAGGGAACAAGGGAATCAATTCCTTGTCACTGCTGTGGAGCTGGGAAGGTCTCTCCTGCCCTTTCCAGAGGTCCCAGATGTTAGAAGCTTTGGCCAAGGGGCCCTTGGAGTTCCCTGTCTGTAGCAACTAGTCAGTACAGACACCCCACCTTCCTTAAGTCACTGGTACTTGGGACTTTGTAGGGATGGGGACCACAGAGTGCACCTAGGAAGGCCCCACAACCTGGCAGTTCATCTCAAGTCCCCTCCTCTGCTACTTCCAGGGCTGGTCCCCAGGTCCCTGGTCCCTCACAGTTTCGGGTGCTTGAAGGGCAGAGCCCATCTCAAGAATGAGGGGTCCTGGGCCATGAAATGGATTTGAGAGCATCTCCATACAGAGTAAGCTGATGCCTCTTAAGGGCCTGAGGCCTCACTTGGGGTAGGTCCCTATTTTACATAGGAGGAAGCTGAAGGTCAGACAGGATGTTTTAAGCACCGCCCAAAGCTGTGAGGCTGATAGGGAGCAAGGCTGGGGTTTCAATCCAGTTATGCCCCTTCAGTTCTGCCTCCAGGCCTTCCAGTGGCCACCTTTGGAGACTCCAGAGAGTGGTCACTAACCCATCTGTCTCCACGAGGGAGCCTGGCATTGCTGTCACACGTCTACCTCCAGGCCCTGGGATTTTCCTCCTTACCCCCACGACTCAGGCCAGTGCTGCAGGTCAGGCCTCACCCAGGTGGGGTGGCTTGTGTCAGGAGTCGGCTGTCTGGGGGTGTCCGGGCCCCTGCAGAGCTGGGAAGTCAGTGGCACCAGAACCTTCGGCTGGTGCGGTGCTGGGAAGGAGTGCCTATCTTGGCTAATCGTCCCTGGCCCCCTCAACCAGTAACTAGGGAGGGTACAAACTGGGAAGAACATCCTTTCTCTTGGGTAGCCAGTGACAGGACCAGGAAGAGAAATGGGCACCCAGGAGGCCACTGGCTTGGCCAAGCTCACCCAGTGGGCAGCTGGTGGGCAGGGTGGAAGTGAAGACCCAGCTTTCCCCTTCATCCCCCACTGTGACCTCTCAGGGCAGGCTGAGTGGCCTGCCACCTACCTAGGGCATGGCCTGGGGCCAGGAATGGGGGAGTGGGTACAGGGACGGGACTCAGCACCCAAGCGGAACCTGGCCAGGGTGGGTTCCTCCCGGAACACAAATGCTGTGAAGTGGCTAGAATTCCAGGTCCTTCCCTTGGAGCCGGTGGGGGTGGGGTCTAAGAGCAGACCTAGGCCACTGTGGACTGAAGTGCAGTCCTTCCAAACCCCCAGGCCCCGCTCTGCTTGGCATGTCTTTGGGACGAAAGGCTCTTGGCCCGGGAACTCCCCATGGACAAGGGAGGCTACCTGAAGTGGTGGAAAGAGAACTTCGGAGGGAGGGAGGAGAGCGTGGCCATAGCTCATTCTGTGGCCTCCAGCAAGTCTTTGCTCCTGTCTGGGCCATGGCCTGTCTGTCTCGTGTGCGAGATCCTGGCCTTGCCTGAATTTAGGATTCCCTGGGGGGTCTGACCTGAGAACGAGAGCAGCGGCTGGGTTTGTGGTAACCACAGGGTAGGGAGCAGCATAATGTGTTGGGGGTGGGGAAGGCCCCAGGCCCCAGGCCCCAGGCTTACCCAACAGCCACACTGGTGTGGACCCAAAAGCTGGGGCTGAGTGAGCCGCAGGTGGGCTTGAAATGGAGCTCCGGGAAGGCGGGCAGGCCCACCCGGGCCTCTGAGCTTGGCGTGGGGTATGGCCGCCACCCTGTGGCCAGTGGGTGAGTTGCAGCCCAGCTGTGCCGGGGAGCAGGCAGCCGGGCTCTGGCTGAGACAGAGCTGGTCCCAGGGGGCTCCCAGGAAGAGAAGGAAACAGCATAGGGGTCAGGAATTGGGGGCTGCTAGGCCACAGTTCATGTTTCAACCTTTGAGGGGCCTTAGATCCAAGTCTGGAGAATGGGGCCTTTTCCTTGGCCTTAGGGGCTATTCCTTGTCTGGTCCCACTTAGAGCCTCACACCTGATGCTCACGGATGTACCTCCACACCTGTCTGCTTTATCCCCCTGGGGTCCAGCCCCCTGCCCAAGGGCTCATCCTTCAAGTTCCAGACACACCCAAGGAAGGCAAGTTGGTGGGCGAAGCATGGGCCCAACATTTCGTAGGGACGGGCCAGGCCTGGCTCTCCTCATTCCCTCCAGCCTGCATTCTGCCTCCTTCCTGTGTCTTCTCCCTAAGCCCAACGGCTGCCTCTGTAGGCAGTTGCTTCTCTGCTCTTGTGCTGTTTACAAGCTGAGGCGCTTGTTTTCTGCCTTTGTGTGCGTCCCTCCTCCTCTCCATGTGGCTCTCCGCAGCCTCTCATAGGAACTCATGCTCTTCCACCATGCTCGCCACACTGCCCGGCATTGCCGTGGCCTCAGGCACAGGCCTCCTCAGGGCAAGGGGGCAGCTGCGGCCATCCACCTCCTCAGCTCCAGATGTTCCCGCTGGTCCTTCCCTCCTACCCAGTCTCTCTGCTTCCCCCCCCCCCCCCAAGCAGATGGGACTGTGGCCACAGGACAGTGGAGGCCAGGGGATCTCAGGGCAGGACGCAGGAGGAGTCTGGTGAAGGACGCCTTGGGGCAGGTAGCAGGTGGGCAGCCCACGGTGAGCTGCCAGTGGGGCTCAGCACTCAGCTTGCAGGCCCGGGAGGAGCACAGATCTGGGCAGAGCTCTCAGGTCTGGTATTTGTGTGGTCTTCGCTGAGCCAGTTCCTTCATGGGGCTGCTGTGAGAATTTCATGAGGTACTAAATATAAGGCCCTTTCCCTAGGGCCTGTCTTATGATAGATGCAAAGGATGCATCTTAATATTATCATTACTATTATTATTACTCTTATCCTTTCAAGCCTCAGCCATATCCTGGCTGGAGGGTAACCTCCCCGCAGGGCAGTGAGGCTTAGTCTCCATCTCTTTGTGTTTCTTGAGGTTTCTTTCTCTGTCCAGCAATAATTGTAATTATATTTGCCACTTACTAAGGATGTACTATGTATCAGACAGAGCTAAATGCTTACATTTTCTCATTGGATCCTCACAGTACCCTTATGAAGCAGATAATATTATCATCCCTATTTTACAGATGAGGAAACTGAGGCTCAGAGAGATTAAGCAATATGTTCAAGGTCACACAGCCAATTAACATGGGATCAAGGATTCAAGACCATGTCTTTCTGACTCTGCTTTGTCTGTGCTCTGTCTCTAACCCAGTCTGTCCTCCAATCTAACCCAGTCCCTCCACAACACACACAGGCCCAGGTGCCCTGGCCCTCATGACCCAGCATGCTCCGTGACCCCCCTGAAATAGGGGCCCTCACCCACCTGTGGGGGTATCTGGCCCAGGCTGTGGTCTTCTCTGACGGGCACTTTGTGCTGTCTGCTTCCAGCTCCCTGTCTCCGCACACTTGATGCTGTTTCTATTTTTTGATTTGAGTTTAATTATAAAGCATGATGTGCTGCTCCCCTCTTCTGGCCTCCCCCTGACACTCCCAACTCACCCACTGGTCCCTGGCATGGTCAGTGCCAAGCCCAGCCAGGCACCTGGCCTTGCCGGGGGTGGAGGCAGCCCGCAGGGGTCTGCTTGTGGTCTGGGTGTATGCGAATGTTGATTGTGGGGCAGAGAGAAGGAAGATCCGAGAAGCCATTTTCAAAGCTCCCTTGACCTTCAAGGGTGGTGCGAAGCACGGGCAGGTTAGAGCTGGAAGAATCTTCCATGGAGGAGGGCAGAAAAGAGACTAGCCCAAACCACACGCAAACTGTCAGCAAGGCCAACAACAGAATCCAGGTCCCTGGGTGCTTGGCTGGGAGCTGAGAATTATAGGACTAGCCCAAGATTCAGCTCTAGAAGACTCAGGCTGAGGAAAGTGGGGATACACTTACAAAGGTGTAGGTGAGGTTCAGAGCAGGCCTTTAGAACTGCCCTGGTCTGTAGTCAGAAGCTGTGTGTCTAGAAGCCACTGTGCCCTCTGCCAGGCTCCTCCCTCCCCTAGAAGGCCTTCCTAACCCAGACCTCACTGTCCCTTGAGGCCAACCAGATGGTCTTTTAGGTCCCTCTCAAGGCCACTGGAGTCAGTTAAGGACCTTGGATTCGGGCCTGTTAAGAACCCTCCCTGCTTCCTGTCAAGAACCTCTTCCTGGAGACGCTCCCCATATACTCATATACTTCAGTATACTCTTCCCCACTCACACTCCCAGATGACCGACACAGAGACCTCTGCATTCCTGCAGCCACACCTACACGGGGTCTCTGAAGTCTGAACTCCAGGAGCTAGGGCTCGGCCCCTGCTGGGGTTCCCTGAGCCCTGGGGAGAGCTGATGGACGCAGCTGTGGCCAAGGGCTATCACGAACACTTAGAATCCGCTCCTGTTTTCCTCCCATCCTCGCACCCCAGGGAACTTGGAGTCCTGGCTGAGGAGCCTCAGGGATTGGCTGAGAAGGCAGCCCGTTCCCACCTGTGGGGACTGAAGACAGTAGCCGACCCGGAGTGCAGGCAGCAGGAGGAAGGAGATGGGGTAGCAGGCTCTAGGGCGGACCACACGCTGGCTTCTTACCATCTTCTTGGTATCCACCTGGGCCAGAGCCTCCAGCAGCACCAACAGGGCCAGTGCCAGGGAAACAAAGTGGCACAGCCCTGTGGCAGGGAGGAAGGACCAGCTCTGGGGGAGAGATGAGCTCCATGTTATAGGCTGGCAACCCAAGGCCCAGACTGGCTGGGACTTGTCAGGGTAGGGGCAGGAACTGCCACCTAAACCTGCCTCTCTGCCTTGAGCCCTCTGTGTAAGGTCAGGTGGGTATGGGTGCTCAGAGAGAGAAGGCAGGTTTGGGGCCAGGGCTCATGGAGAGAAATGACCTCTCCCCATCATCTTTCAGAGTCCCTGTGTATGACCACATAGGTTGCACGCTTCGTAACTCCTGGGGGCTCCAGTTGCATTGGTGGATGGCACCTCCAGGACTTGTGCAATGCTGCGGCCTGACTGATTTCCCCAAAGCCAGCTGCCTGATGGGAAAGATGCTGAGGCCAGAGGTCAGGGTATTTAAGGGCTCCAGGCCAAGGAAGTGGGGCAATTGGGCATAATCAGAGATTTGCTGTTCTACCAGTTTCCTGAAACGTGTTTAGAGGAGAGAGCAGGATGGCAACATGCCATTCCTGTCTCCCTCTTGGCTCCCCATACCCGCAGAGCTCCCCACAACAGTTTCCCACCCAGCTCAGCCCTGGGCCTGATCCCAAAACCAGCTATAACCGTGATTTTCTTCCATTATACTCACCCCCAAACTCTAAATCTAGCTCTCTGTCCTGCCCTAATCCCCACCCCCAAGATGCTCACCCTCCTGCCAGCATCAGGAAGGGGTCAGGGTACTAAAGTGCTCCCCCTTGGTGGCTCTGGTTATGCATTCATAGAAAAAAACAGCTTTTGGTGGAGGGCTGGGCAAGGGGAAATTCAATCCACACCCCGGGAAGCTCTTGGCAGGAGAAAGCTGCCACTTTTCCAACTCGTAAGAGAACCTAGGCCAATCACCCACCCCTAGCCGGCAGACCCTCTGAGCCAGGGGGTGCTGGGGCACACAGCCCAAGTCAGGGCTGAGGAGAGGTGAGGGAAGGAGCAGCATGGGTAGGAGTTAGAGGTGGGCTAGGGCCAGTGGAAAGCAGCCCTGGGGCTTAACTCCCTAGCCGATGGCCCTCCGGGGGGATGTGAATGTGAGGAAGGTGGGCTGTTGGAGACAGACAGGAACAGATCCGGCCGGGGAGTGGTGGGAGAAGAAGGGCTGTGGACACTGCCGCAGAGCAGCAGGGCAGGGGGTAAACGGAAGGAGAAAGGAGCTGGATAGACTTCCAGAAGACCTCTATGTCCCACAGGGATGCCCCGCAACCAGAGAGGGAGCAAAGTTAGGGAGGCTCCTTCTGTGGATCTCTGAGATCAGACTGTCCGGGGGGGCAGGGGGTGCAGATAGAGAGAAGGGTGCTGGGTCCAAGGCAGGGAATGGAATGGCATGGTGACAGGAGAACTGGGTATCAAGCACGGCTCATGTGAGGGGGCCATGGCTGGTGGCAGGAGCCCCTGTTCTCCTTTTCCATTGTGAGAAGGAGACGCAGGGCTGACCTGAAAATAACTAAGCCTGGAGTGACAGCTGCAGCTGTAGCTGGGGTCCAGACCTGAGGGGAAGGGACGCAGAGCTGTGGGAAGGCCCAGACGGCCCCCAGGTGTCAGGACTGGCTGTGCTGCTACCGTGGTGGGGTTCAGGTGAGCTCACATAGGCTTTTAGCCAAGGAAGGGGGACAGGGCCTCAGGACCTGGTAAGAAGGCCTCACCGCTTCCATTTTATGCTTTCCACCTCTTTCCTCCATGGCCTTTCCATCCTCTCTGGGGTCTGAAGAATATGGATGGGCTGGGGAGAGCGGGTTCTTCTGAAAGTTTGCCTCTGCCAGGCCCTATTGAGGCCCTGGGCTGGTGAGGGAGCCCAGCAGCTTGAGGAGTGGGCCAGGCCCCTTTCAACCCTCACTTCTGGCCACACACAACCCTGACAACCCACCTCTGAGCTGGTCCCATTCCGTGTCCCCTGCCAGCCCTCATTGGTCTTCCCTGCCTCATTCCCTGTGCAGCCCTTACCTGACCTCTCACTTCTCACGGCACCCAGCCTTGCCCCTCACCCCTCGTGCCCTGCCCAGCCCTCACCTGGCCCCTCAGTTCCGGCCTGCGCCCCGCAGCCGCTGGTCGAGCTGACAGAGCTGGTGGAGGAAGCCTCGGTTGGGGAAGACCCACCGGTGTTGCCTCACGGTAATCACGGCCTGGCGCAGGGACAGCTGATGGTGCAGCATGAGATAGGCCAGGACCAGCGTGGCGGAGCGGCTCACCCCTACCACACAGTGCACCAGGACCTTGGCTGAGGAAAACATCCTGGTGAAAGACCCTTTCCCACCTGCTGGCCCACCCGGGGCAGGGGTAGGGACCCACGTGCCTTTCCCTGCTCTGCCATGGGTATACTCTGTAACCCCGGGCAAACTGTTCAGCCTTTATGGTTCTGTTTCCTGATCTGTCAGATGGGTATACCAACACCTATTTAGCCTACCCTTGGGATAGGGTCCAAACTCCTTAACGTGGCTTACAAGACCTTCTGTGAGCTGGCCCCTGCAGACCCTACAGCTTCATCTCAGCCTGCCTAACCCTGACCTTCACCCTGAGGAACTCACTTGCAGTTCCTTGAAGCTGTTCGGGGCTCTGGCCTCCAGCCTTAGCACATGCTATTCCAACCACCTGTAAAACTTCTTCTGCTCTTCGTCTGACTAATGTCTATTACTCATCTGTCCAGTTTCAGCTAAGACATGGTTTCCTTGTATAGTCTTTCCTGGTCACTCATGGTATCACTTGAATCACAGAGCAGCTCATCCTTTTTGCCTGTGGCCCAGTGAATACTTTGTAGAGGGTGGGCCCCTCACTTCCCTGGTCCCCTGGATCAAGCACCCTTGCCCTGTTCCTGTTCTCCTAGAGCTCTTCACATTTACCCACTCATTTGAATAGTACTCATAATTATGATTGTCTTTCCATGAAACACATGACAACAAGAGCCATAAGAGCAGGGACTCTGCCTTGTCTAAGTGTGGATTCAGTATCTAGCTCAGCGCCTGGCACAGAAAAGATAATAAACAGCGGGTAAATGAATAGATGATGAACAAATGAATGTCAAAGCGCTCTGGATATTAAAAAGTGCCATGAGCCATAGTCTTGTCTTTCCTGTCAGGTAGACAAGAAATTGAAGTCCAGAGAGAGACACTGGCTAACCCAGGGGCAGGGAGGAAGGGGCATGACTCTCACCCAGGATGCACACAGAGCAGGGGCTCCAGCTTCCCCAGGCTCCTCTGTTCTACCCTGGGGAGTAGAAGGCGTTTTTTTTTTGTTGTTGTTGTTTTGTTTTGTCTTATTTTTCCATTTGAAAATACTTTGGGGTGGAAACCAGACATCTAGGTACTAAATGGCAATTTCTCAAGGCTGAATGATGGAGAGAAAGAACTTTTGCTGTTTGGGAGACTTGGCTTCCAATCCCGGGACTGCTCCTAACTCGTGACATGACTTTGGATTCTAGGCCTCAGTTTTCCTGTCTGTTGAAGCAACAAGGTTGGATAAATTGCTGGAGCACTGAGCAGAGGATTTTTACAAACCTGAAGTCTTTTTAAAAACTAAAGATGGGAGGGCACTGATATTTGAGGGGAAACTGGACATCGCCCCCCATGAGTGAGCAGGATGGGATATGGGTTCAGACCCAAGTCCTACCCCCAGGTGTGCTGAGGGCACGGTGGATGAAGTCGGCTGCGGAGGAGAAGTAGGCACTGATGTCGAAACTGGGGAGGTCGTGGGCTGGTACCCCCAGGTAGCTCACACTGCTGCCGTAGAAATCAGGGCCACCCTGACAGTAGAGTCCCCCGTGGGCTGCGTTCAGCACGTGGGTAATGCCCAGCTTCCATAACTCAAAGCGGTTATTTGCCGTGGCCCTAGGAAGAGGAAGAATAGGGCTGGGTGCTGGCTGAGCCATGGGGTCCAGGAAGGAGGTTTTGCCTGGCCCCCTGCTTCAGAGGGACAGAGCCATAAAGGCCCAAAGGGAGCCACAAGGAACCCAGTAAGCTTGAGCCCCACCCTCAGAGCTTTCTGATGGAAGAGTTGGTGGTATAGGGAGTTATCTTTAGACCCTCTTCGCTTCCTGAGGCCATCTGCTCCTGCCTTGGCCAAGACAGGAAGGAAAGAATTGCTTCAGTCCTGGAATCCAGCTGCCCCTCCTTTCCTGCCCCATGCCTTCCCACCCACATCTGGCCTCTCCTGGCCACTACCTCCTACCTGTTTCTAATTTGCTAATGTGTAATGGGTGACACCTTCCCTGATTCACCTCTTTCACCCATTCTGTGTCCAGAGGAGGGAGGCTGGGACCAGGAAGGGGAGCTCTCTGTCCATCCCATGTCATACCTGGAAGCACCATTCCCCAGGCCTCTGTCCCCGAGACTCGCCAATTGTCCTGGATATATCAGAATGACTTCAGGATCTTCTGGGAGTTCCAATCATCCAGGCAGGCAAAAGCCCTGCTCCCCCGGTGGTCACACCTGATCACTGCACTGTCCCCAGCACACTGGGGTCCTGGAGCAAGTCCCTGGCCTGGGATGTGCAGAGCAGAACTATTCCTCCTTGTTCCACCCGGCTCCCATCTCTGGTAAAGAGCCCAAGAACTGTCTCTCCTTGTCCCCTTCCCCACACCCCTTCGACCAGCTACCACTCACGCATCTCCTATGTAAAGGTTGGGCCAAACTTCATCCACATGGCTGCAAGAAATCTTCCCTGCCCTCAGGAGCTCCTCCAGTTCCAGAACACTGGGGCAAGGTGTGGCTTCGGCATCTCCCTTCAGCTCTGGGACCGAGGCTTCAGCCATGGGCCAGCCCACCCACCGCTCTGTCTCTGCAGTCACTCCTCTCTGCCTCTCCAGTGTCATTTCTCCTTCCCGGAGATTGGCAGGAACAGGTGGGACAGAGGCAAGTGACTCAGCAAGTCACAGAGGCCTCCAGAAAGAACAGGACATTTTTTCCCCAAGTCACCCACCTAACCCCAAACTCCGTGACAACATGGAATCAGTCATATCTCTGTAAGTCACTTTACATTTCTACCTCAGTTTCTTCAACTGTAAAGTAAGGATAATTACACCTACCTGAAAGAATTATGAGGATTAAATGAAACAAAGGATATTCTGTGTTTAACACATAGTAGATGCCTAAGAAACATTTGTTGAACTACTAGGGTTAGGGCCCTGAATAAGGCTATTTAGTTCTGAAGACTGAGTTAAAGTGGAGATCCAGGGTGGAGCAGGGGGTGGTTGGTTTCAACAATGAATGATTAAAAAAAAAGCTCTGCAGGTCTGGGTGGGCCACAAACTGGGTGGGAACCATATGGCTGCTGAGCGAGCCTGTGGATTATGCAGCTCAGGGGGGAAGTTTCCTGCATTGTAGAGTCAGAGAAATATGGAGAGGAGGCATGGAGGATTTCATCTAAAGGATGCTCATGGGGTTTGTGGGGGAAGGTTTGAACAATGGTTCTATAATTAAAATAGCTGGTTTCTCAAAAGAGAAGGCTGAAATGGGCCATGTATATCAAAGTGGGGAGAAGGGAAGTGAATGTTGCCTTAGACCTTCTGAAGAGCCAAAGGGACTGTCATCAGAAACATTTTTGGGGTGGAGATTCCCCTGCTTACAAGGGCTTTTGCCCCCACAACAGAAACTGAGAAGGGTCTATATCTGTCCTTCTGTCAGAGCCAGTTACCTGCAGAAGAGGTAAGATGACTTGCCCACTCTCAGGTGACTTCATGAAGGCCCTGATGGGATGGAAGGAGTATGAGCTGCAGTGGGAAGGCTCCCAGCTGCCCCTGGTCTTGAGTCCAGCTTGAGGGTAAGGGCTACACCAGGGGATCCGGTGGGAGAAGTATGCACTCATGTCCACTCTAGAACCTGTCTCCACCCCATCAGAGCCACTGAAGTCTGCCCTGCACTTGATGAGGAAGACAGTCAAGGAGGATTTGGAGCCCAGGTTGCAGGTGGTTTGGGATTTGGCTTATGCCAATTCTAGGCCTGGGTTGGGGACTTTCCGAAAATAGAGAGGAGCAGATTCTGAAGTTAGACAGATTTAAGTAGGAATACTAGCTTTAGGACATATTAACTGCGGTACCTCAAGCAGGTTACCTGGCCCTTCTGTGTTATAATACCCTGCAAAGTTGGCACAAAGATTAAGCGAGATATTTATATAGCATTTGGAATAAGGACTGTCAGAAAGTAAAGGGGCAATAAATGGTAATAATGATCATTGGATGCTGGCTCTTGCGGAGGAGCTGGCTCCCTCCAAAGGAATTTGGTAACCTCTTCTGGCTCCCATACCTCATCTACTAATCTCATAGGCCCCAGGCCATCTTCACCAGCCCCTTATTTTCTCCCACTTTGGCGCTCGGGCTGACGCATGCGCTCTCGGGTTTCCTCGCCGCGGTTTTCCTTCCCTCGCCCATCTTGAATCCCGCGACCCTTCCGGTTTGGGCCCCGCCCCCGCCGGTATGGCTCCGCCTCACGCCCATAGGGCCCCTCCCCCCGAAGCAGTTCCGGTTCGGATTCCAGTGGCTGCGGGAGCCGCACAGACTAGCCGAAGCGATGCCTGCGCGCAGCCGCCACCGCCCCCGCCTCCACTCCGGCTCGCCTCCCCGGCCTCCGCCTCCGCCGCTCGAGGCGCTTCACGCTGGCCAGGCCCGAAGGGCCGGTGATTGCGACGGCGGCTCGGACGCCGACTCGGAGGTGGGTCGGGGAAGCCCGACTCGGACCGCGGAGGTGAGCGGGATCAGTGCCTGAGGAGAGGGGAGTTTGGGGAGCGCCCGCAGCCGGGGATGAGTTGGGAGTCAGGGGCGGAGCCGGGCTGCTCAGGACTGGGATCCGGAGGGGCCGCAGGAGACGGTTGAGGGAGCCGGGAGAGTCTGCTCTAGAATGGAATCTGGGAAATGGAGGCTGTTGAGCCGAGGGCCTGAGGAGGGTGACGACGGCTGGAGGCTGAGGGGCGAGGGTAGCGGGAGACCTGAGGGAGAGGTGGCTTTGAAGAGGCAAGGGCTTGGAGGGTATGGGAAGCCGAGTAGTGAGGGAAGCACATGCAAGGGGTTCCGCGGGAATGAGGGGCCGGAGGAAGGGATGCTTGGGGATTTGGAGGTGGGGGCGAGGGATCGGAGCAGCCAGGACCGCGGTCGGTATTATGGCCTGGCGAGAGAGACGGGACCGGGTTGTGACGGACGTGGTAGCTGACCGAAGGTGCGGGGCGGGGGGAGGTTTGCTAATTAGGAGAAGGATTTAGGTTTGATTGGAAGAGGGAGGGGCTGTCTGTTAGGAAGTCATCTGACCTGAAGGGCCCGAAAAAGAGAAATGGGGTCAAGAAAGAAAAGGAGCCCTTGGGGATCTAATTCAAGACTTGGCATTTTCACAGGTGTCTTTGAAAGCGCCGAAGATCACTAGGGTAATATGCTTGGATTGTGGGGCTTTCTCGTTTGTAGACAGTGGATCCTTTTAAGAATCTGGGACGGTGTTGAACACTGATTTGCCGCAACGGCTGGGGGAAAGTAGTAAAAAGGAAGTGATGTTTGGAAAAGATAGCGAAAGGAGTGATTCTGACAATAAAGATATCATTTGGGGGCGCCTGGGTGGCTCAGTTGGTTGGGCGACTGCCTTCGGCTCAGGTCATGATCTTGGAGACCCGGGATCGAGTCCCGCATCGGGCTCCCTGCTCGGCAGGGGGTCTGCTTCTCCCTCTGACCCTCCCCCCTCTTGTGCTCTCTCTCTCTCTCTCATTTTCTCTCTCTCAAATAAATAAATAAAATCTTAAAAAAAAAAGATATCATTTGGGTTTCTTCTAACAGTAATAGTGTGGGTTTTTTCTTTGTATTTTTTTTTCTTAAAGTTTACTTTAGATACCAGACAAGTTTAGATCTTTAAGAAAAAAGATTTAATACGTTACCTTTAAATTTAAAAAAAGCAGAACAAGAATTTGGACACTTAGGTTTTACAGATACTCCGTATTGACTGGTTACACTTTGACAACTTGAGTTGACACATATATTTACTACAGGGTAAAAATATGGTCAGTGCAGGTGTCTGGTTAAAAGAGTTTATAAAACTACAGTTGACCCTTGAACAGCAGGGGTTTAGAAGCATGCAGTCATAATCCCCTATAACTTTTGACTCTCCAAAAACTTAGCTAATAGCCTGTTAACCAGGAGCCTTACTGATAACATAAACAGTTAACACATTTTATAAATTATGTGTATTATGTATTATATTCTTATAATAAAGTAACCTAGAGCAAAGAAAATGTTAAGAAAATCATATGGGAGAGAAAATAAATTTACAGGACTGTACTGTGTTTATTTTTTAAAAATCTGCATATACGTGAACCCGTACAATTCAAACCCTGTTGTTCAAGGGTCAGCTGTATATGTGAAATCACCACAGTCCGGGTATACCAGCTCTTTCTCTCACTCATAACTCCAGGATTGGGGTCTCTTGAAAATTGAAGGGGTACTTTTGACAAGTTTGCAGGACCAATATTAATGCAATTTTGCATATATTGTATGAATAATATATTTTTTTAAGATTTTAATTATTTATTTGACAGAGAGAGAGACAGCGAGAGAGGGAACACAAGCAGGGAGAGTGGGAGAGGGAGAAGCAGGCTTCCCGCCGAGCAGGGAGCCGGATGCGGGGCTTGATCCCAGGACCCTGGGATCATGACCTGAGCCGAAGGCAGATGCTTAACAACTGAGCCACCCAGGCGCCCCTGAATAATATTTTTAATAGAGTGATCTAGAAAAATAAGAATAGAGGGTGCTTGTAGTAGGCAGTAAACAGAACTGGGATAGGTGGGTACCATAGATACCTTTTATAGAAGACATAGTACCAAAACAATAATTGTGCCAGAAAAATGATTGCAATACTTACATTCACTTTAGTAGAAATAAGTTAGTTTCCTTTTGTAATTGTTAAGTTATAACATGGCTTCAGGAAGTCTTTAGCTATGTTTCATAAGATTACTTTTACAACTTTTTATTTGGTTATACATTTTGCAAATTCGTTGGCCATTTCAAAACAAACTTTTAATCAAGTGTTTCTTCTCTAAACGGGTATCTACTGTTTAATCTTCATGCAGTGAAAATGTACTGATTGCAAAATCTTTTAAATATTTATGTGTATAGATTGTGTCATATCTTCAGTGTACTAGTAATTATTTCTTCAAAGGAGAGATAAATTCTCTTTCCTTTAACTGTTGTCAAAAGATTAACTCCCTTTTCTCTAATTTAATACAAATGATCTTTAGTTGGAAGTTACATAGTATTACTGTTGTTTATGTTTCTGCTTAACCGACACCAGACTGAGATTCTCTAAAGACCATGTCTTCATACTTAGCTCTAAATAAAAGTCTCAGCATTTAAAAATTTATGGAATTGAACTGAAATAGAACTCTCTATTAAGGTTACATCTTAATATTACTATGAAATTAAGTAAACCATTAAATGGAGTTGTACAATTAATATATTAGCATGCCTAATAGTTATTTTTGTTTCCCTTTGACAGTTCTCACAGTTCTCACACTTAGTTGTAAAGAAAATCAGTTTTGTGCTTGAGCAGTTTCCCTAAGACAAGAAGAAGCCATCATGACCACAATGGCAGAATGTGCAGATATACTTAGATAAATCAGTTTTGATTTCAGTAGTACTCTCCATTCTGTAAAGACTCTAATTCACATTGCACAACTACTTGTAAACATTCTTATTTTGTTAACCACTAAATCTTCACTGCTTTTTCAAAACTTTGCCATAGCTGATTTAGAGACATTTTCGTGGCTTTTTTGAGAATTGAAGTTTGAACATTGTTTTTGAGAAGTTGTTGTATCACAGATGTTCTAATGAATATTATTATTATTTT